CTATCGCCCTCATAATTCTTTCCAATATGTAGCTTAATATTAGCGCCAGTATTACTAAGAGAGTTGTAGGCAAAATTTTTGCTTGCTAAAAATGGGCTTGTTTCAAAACTTAACAACATTTCCGATGCATTCGTTGTGAATGTCAATACATTTGTTTCAATTCGATCAATGCCCGTTTCTGATATACCAAGGTATCTTAGCGATTTTAGCGCATAAAACGCCCTCTCACCAATTGTTTTAATAGTACCGCCATCTAGCGAAATTAAATCTAGATGATCTAGCCCATTAAACGCGTTTGCTGGTATAGTTTGTAGATTAATATTATGTAAATACACCACGACTAATGATTTAAACGTATTAATGATAGCGAATATATCAGTGCCTTCGGTAGCGTTGCCAGATTTATGTAGCAATTGTGGTGAGTCTTGCAATACAAATTCACGACAATCCTGGCCGACAAATGCATGGCTGTTAATATTCTTTAGCCTCATATTTTGACGTATTGTTATATTGCTAAATTTCAAATCGCCAAACATGTACGCTGGTAATACTTCCATGTTTGTTTGAAGTAAACTGATTTTACCCATGTCCTTTTTATCATCAGGTACACTTTTGCTGAAGTTGTTAAAGGCAGGGATTCCTGAGCTAGTGCAAATCCAGCTAGGTTGATCAAAGTCAGTGTGGCATGAACATGGCTGCATTTGCGCTTCGTATAAACAACCTCGATTGCAATTTGTGTATCCAATCATTAGACAAAGTATAATTGGTACAATATTAATCATATTGTATATTATATTTTTACTATATAAAAATATTATAAATAAATTGTATTAAACTATTTAGTTAAATTTATGTTTATTACTTGCGTTATTCTCTATCACGGGTTAATTAAAGTACAACAATAAGATTATATTTTTTTCTAAAATAGTTTGTAATGAAACAGATTGTAATAGTGCAAATATGTTGTTTTATGCTAAAAATGTCTGCCATATCTTTATTATAAATTATGTGCTATTTTATTTTAGTACGTTTTTAAATTTGTAATTAAAATATTAATAAAATCTATTAACTTATTTTTATAAACCTTATTTATTCAACTATATTTGGTTTAAATATGAAATAAATTATTATATATTTTTGATAAACAAATTTTAATGCACCTATATGTGAGTTTTTAAAGGATTATATACAAACTCAGCTCTAGAGCCAATTAGTGTATATTACAACTTGTGTTAATAATTCGTGATAATATATTATTATTTTAACTAAAAATAATGCAATACATTGTAAACACACATTAAAATTTACGGTAAAATAACAAACAATTAATTAATATTAAAAATAATATTATACCTAAATTAAAGTATTCTCATCTAGACTGCAACAATTATTAAAACATAAAATAAATAAACCTACATAAAATTATTAATAAATAATGATAGAGCTGGTGGAAGAGCTAATGATAAACCTTTGTACTATTTTAAATTATATTACAAAAGTATAATAGAAACATTCTGGTAATTACCGCGTTTGATCACAAATATTTTCAACGTAAAAAATTTATAATGTTTATACAAATTAGGTGAAATATTTTAATAAATACCGACAAGCGTATCACAATTTAATTCATTTCTAAAGTGTTTATCAAGTATAAACTTGTAATACTTTTAATTAAAATAACTACAACTAAATTTTACATTTTCAAATCAAATAAAATTATTACAATAATTAAATTAGTTAACTATCATTAAGAATTATGAAGGGTATGTTTAACATTAACTTCTAAATTAATAACTAACCATGTTAATTAACATTCACTATAGTCATACTATTGGCAATTATAATACTGTTTAATACGGCGCCCAACAAATGTCAGACCCCTAGTAATGCTACGGTCACACCAGTAACGGGACAACCAGGAGCTACTGCCACAACCGTTGGTCCAGTAATAGTTCCACCATTACCAGGATCAATACCACCACCACAAGGATCACCACCAGGTATATCACCTGCGCCAGTAGTACCATCAGTACCAGGATCGCAACCAGCACCAGGATCAACACCTGTTAACGTACCACCCGGTGGAGTCCAACCTGTCCCACCAGCTCAACCTAGCCTACCACTACCATCATTCCCAGTCCTACCGACACTACCAGCCCTGCCCACACCACCGGGCATACCAACGGCCAACGGCACTGTTCCGACACCCACTATACGACCGCCGATTCCCGATATATTCGCCATAATTCAAACATTTGGCGAACTATTCATGCGGTTTGGCTTTGAGTTCGTCCGGTTTGTCGACTGTATGGGCTTTAAGTGGGCGGTCGACTGCCGGAGCGAATTGTTACAGTGCGTCAAAAGTAAGAAAATAAACAACT